ACCCAATTACTGACAGAAAGATTTAATTTTTGCTAATTAATCACCCTGGCACTTTATAAAGTAGGCTAGTCCTTTATAGTCCTTTACTTTTGCTTAAATAAGATTTTGCATTGAGGTGCCGATACTTTTAATGAAGAAAAGGATCTGAATGCGTATTTTAAGTTTGTTATCCTTATTTCCACAGACACATGCCATGATTATTTTAATGTTGATACAACTAAAAAGGGAAATGACACACAATTTCCATCCATAATGCTCTAATCTAAACCCTTAATGTCCTTGATTTCTTGAAGCAATTTATAGTCATCTGCCACTGATACAGCTGCTTGTTTTTAGCCTTTCACATTAAGCAGCTCCCTGACAACTATCCCACTCAAAGTCTCACATTTTATCACCCAACACAATAACTCAAGACAAGACAAGTGACAAGACAGATGAGTAAAGTTGGAGACATTTATGACATGCATATCATACATACTGTGGAGGAAAGCAGATGAGGCAGAAGCAGCAGGAGGACAGTTGTTGTCCACATCATGTCAGTGCCGTCTGATTGTGATTATTTCCTTCAGGGGCGAGGGGAGGGAGGTGGGGGGCTGAACTCTATCCACCCCGTCACCAGCAGCCACTCCTCCATTTATGCTTAATTCTTCCACAGAGTCTGCTCTTTTCCCTCACACGTCCATCCCTTCTTCCACTCTCATCTACCAAGTCTGCATCTGCTCCTTCCTCTCAGTTGTCAAACTTTCACCTCACTTCCTCTCCCACTGCCTCCACCTCCATCAGTCACTCCCACTTTTTCTTGTAAATTCCCATGACAACATCCCTCGTAAAAAGGAGGTTGAATTTGTAAAAGGGGCTGGTGATAAACGTCTGGATATGTTTCTGACAAGTAGCTGAATGTGCTGATTCCAGATTTGTGGTAAAGAGAGATTACCTTCCCCCCTCAGTGTCTATTACCAGGCATCGTTTTTTTTACAGGTTATATCCTGCCACCAGCACGAGAAACAGATGTGGTTAAAGGGAAATGGGCAGCTTGTTTTAATGTAGGAACACTTTCTCTCTGCTGGTGTCTTTGCGTGGGAGCTGCAGCTGAAGGTAGGATGCAGTGAAGACGGTGTCTGCTTCTTATGCCCCCCCCACCCCCCCCACCCCCTCTCTCTGACCACTGACTCATACATCTGAAAACAGCCTCCTACAGGGTCAGACCAATTACTCCTGTTAACTGGGCAGTCAAGCAGTGAGAAAAGTGAAAAGCGATAAAGGGCAGCAGCACATTCCAGCCGGGGTCCAGCTGGAGACCCGGCCGGCCTGTCGCTTCCCTGGAAAACTTAACCGTGAGAGCCAAAGACAGGATTTGCGGTTGTTCTGAACCTGTGTGTGTTTACAGCCGTGGTCAGTGAGAGGAATGTGAAAAGCCTAGTGCGGCAGCCTCGGGGCCCCCCCACATCTGTCCTATGTTACATACTCTTGTAAAGCAGTCTATGCATGTGAATGACAATGACATATTATATCTGCCATGCAAGACAAGACTGTGTGGTTTATGTGTTTATCATATCCTCTTATTGTGCCCTTGTAAAGAAATGATACATTAAATTAAACTGTGTGATGGCTGAAAGGAATAGTTTGGCACTTTCTTCTGAGAGGATTGATACCACTCTCTGTCTGTACGATAAATATGAAGCTAGAGCTAGGAGACAGTTAGCTTAGCTTAGCATAAAGACTAGAAGCAGGAGGGTGCAGTTAACCTGGCTCCGTCCTAAGCTAACCAAATTTGCCAAAGTTGATTATGCAGTCCAAAGTGTCAAAATAACAAGTTGCCAGACTATTTCATGGCCAGGTGCAGGAGTCTTGTTGTCTTCTGACAGAGCCAGCTGTTCCCCCTGTTTCCAGTCTTTAAGCTTTATTGAAGGGGGAAACAGTAGGTAACAAAATCCATCTACCGGCACCTTCAAAGTTCACTAATTAACACGTTGTATCTGGTTTGTTACAGCACGTTCCTCCTCATAAAACCACAACTTGTTTTTAGAATTTGGTTATTGGAAGTGCAGCAAGACACAGAGCAAAGGTTTTCAAAAAGGTTTTATTTATGCAAAAAAATGAGGAAAGGCACCGAAACATTAACTTGGTTGTGCCCTAAAAGAAAAAACTACAACAAACTGAGGGATTTAATCAACAGAGACAAAAATGGCCTAACTAATGACACATGAGGAGAACATACTGGCTTGCCAAACCGACGCAACTCAAAAGATAGAAAGTTATATTAATTATGCATGTTTAATGTTAATAAACCTACATTTTAAAAACTCTGTGTTGGTTGTTTAATTATATGTAAGCTGTATGTGGAGTGTGGAGATGATTTTGTTCAGCAAAACAACAGAAGAAATCCTGCAAGTGAACTGCAAAAACTAAATATGTTACAGGTGTTAAAGGTATGACAGTGCCATCTACTGCTCTCGGTTTGCATTACATTACAATTGCTCATGTTGACCTGTTGCCTGTTGCCATGGTGCATCTGAGTTCTCCACACACAGAAACAACTGATCATTTTGGTAAATATTGTAAATATAAATAAATATCTTTCATGAATTTATTTAGCTTTACCTATAGCGAGTGTAGTGCAATTGTCCAAGGCATTTTGTTATGCAGAAGAAAACAAATATTTTTATTTAAATAAGAGTTTAGACTCAAAATCATATTATTTTCCTCTCATAAGGGAAATAAATTGTAATCTGAATGTATAGTCCTGCTAAAAAGCTATTACAAAATGAGCAACAGTGGAAAGGACTCACTAGAGACACACACATGCTGCACTGTAAGATGATCACAGTAAGCTTTAAAATAGCGGGAACAAGTGTGCTGTCTCACAAAGGTTTAACATCTCTGAGACCGACGCTTTCAGACTGGGAATGGCTGCTGGAAATCTCTGCTGCCCTTTTCTTCACCCTCAACTTATGCAACTCCGCCATGGTCTCAGATAGGACGTAGTCCCACAACGGTATCAGTACACGCACTTGGGTAAATGTATGTGCCGCAAACATCAGAGGCAGTGGAAGAGACTACACACACTGTAGGAATCTGATCGTCACAGTCTCAGGAACTATTAATTTGTTGAATCAACACAATGTTGAATTTCTTCTTTTGTTTTTAAATGAAAAATATTAACGAAACACACCAGATAAAAACACATTTTGACATAAAGAAAAGGTGTTTTGTAATTAGTTTAACCAACAATTTAACACAATAAATGTGAAATAAAATTGTTGCATCAGCATAAGCAGATGTTATACTCCACTCAGGTTAGCAAAACTGTGACAGAGACCCCAGAGACACCTTTTAAATCCTGACAGCAAAGTAAAAAATAAGTGTCTCTAAAGACAAATCATAAAAAGAATCCCTCTTTTAACTCCTTAACATCCAGTTCTACTTTATAGTTTCCCTTAAGCAGCTTTAAGTTTGTTAAAATCCCCTTATTCCACACTGTCTGACAGCATTAGATTAGATTCAACCATACCAGAGCAACAATAAAGCATATAAAGATATCTACGGTGTAAAGATATGTACAGAATAAACAGACCACTGGGGTAGAAACACAAAATCAACAAAACAATATACAAAATGTACAGTACAAATTAACATTTTATAGGCCAATATGTTTTCTATCAATTTATTTAAACTCTGCGTTGAAGTTTTATGATGTTTACACATATTTGTTGCATGTTTATAACTATCAATCTATTAATCACGTCACTGTGTCACTTTGCTGAGACATTTAGTTCAGTACAACACTAGTCCTGGATACCGTATGGGTCATTTTGTGTTTTGTGGCTAATTGCTCCTACAGTTTTTATTTTATTTTCTAATTTTATACACATTTAATTACTTATTCTATTCGGGTTTCTGTACTTATCTGTAATTATTTGGTCCTTGAGGTGATGTTACATCCAAATTTCCCTTCTGGGGGATCCAAAAAAGGATGATCTTATCTTAATGGCTGCAACATCATCCAAAAGTTAATACTCTACATGCAATGTGTATCATTTCATAAAAATGTTTTCCAAAATTCAACCGAACACACTGAGCTATCCTTGGAAACTTTATGATCTCCACTAGAAGTTAATGAAGTTCTGTGGGTTTGAACAATGTTTGGCTGAACAGCTGCTTGTTAAAGCGTTCATTTATAGTTAAAGTTGTATCAGAACTATACAGATTAATAAGCTGTTTATAGGTATTTCTATATATATTACTATAATTCCTTTTTGGAGTTAATCCATTGATAAGTAGGCTATATTCATTTGTAAAACATTTGATTTTTATTATCCAAACCTTTTCTAAGACTCTTCATGTCCACTGTAGCGTATATTAACTCTGGTGGATTATAATGAGCCAGTAATTGAATGACTTATTGAATGCACCGTAGATAATAACACCAGTCCAGCCCATGGTCCAGCCAGACATTTTTGTTGAATTCAATCTGTTGGCCAGCTGAGCTCCAGCTCGGTGTGCGCATGTCTTCCACCAGAGGGCAGAGCACTGCGGCTGCGCCTGCATGGACTAACAGGCTCCGTCTGGGTTGGCCTCATCAGGGGCGGATGTTTTCTCAGTGCAACTTCCCAATCCCCCCCTCCACCACCCCACCACACCAAAAACCAGACCAGGCCCAGAGTCAGGAAAAAGGACTCCAGCACAGCAGCCCATGCCTCATTCCTCCTCTCCACTGTATCATATCTGGTTGTCTCTTATAACCTCTGTCTGCACCACCTTTGCTTCAGCAGGAGAAAAAAAAACACACAAACTGGAAACTACACAAATAAAAGCAAACACTTATTATGTGACTGATTTTAATGTGTTTTTTTTTTTTCTCTCTTTCAACCTTGAAAGCGTCTAAATCATGGAAATAAAACACGACTAACTCACTGTCTGTCTGGTGTTGATGGTTTCTATCTGAGGGAAATATTTTGCCCTGCAACTGCGGCAGCTTTAAACCCTGCAACCCCGCCCCTCAGCACTATCACATGAATCTGGACTGAGCAGTGGATGTGAAAAAAGTTTGGAGGTCTCGCTGAAATCACTTTTCTCCAGCTGGTTTCCTGTATATCCATGGCTTTGTTTCCCACTTGAGGAGGCTTTTCAGTTGAAACTTTGCATCGGGAATCAGTGTCGCTCGGAGTGTTTTTCCCCGGCTGTGATTTCTCCAGTTTCTTTCTTTCTTTTTTTTCCCCTGCAGGAATACAGAGAGAGAGAGAGAGAGGGAGAGAGAGGGAGAGAGAGAGTGAGTGAGAGAGAGGGGGGAAACGGTCTGGCTGCTTGAAGGTATGTGGGAGGCATGTAACGTGTTGTACGCTGCTCACATTGATTTTTGCCAGCGATCCTCGCTTTAAACTGCGTTTCTTCGACTCTTGTACCCGGAGATCGCTTTTCTCTCAACAGCTGATCAACTTTCGAGATGTTACAACTTGAAACAGACACACAAGGACACAAAAGTTCAAATGGGGTGTGGGGGGAGGGTTTGGGAAGGGGAGGGGGGGTGTTGGTGGTGGCAAAAAAAAAGTGTAAACAAATAGGCCTGCTCATAACTCCCAACTTATTTTTATTCTCTTCTTTGTTTTCCTCTTTGTTTGTTTGTGTGATTGAACTTTTCGACAGATTTGTTGCGACACCAAAACTTTGGCGACATGGACGCGCACCGCGGCGCGCCTCCGGCCGGGCAGCAGATCGTGCACGTCCGCGGGGACTCGCAGACGGAGCTGGAGGCCCTCTTCAGCGCGGTGATGAACCCCAATAAGGCGGCCAGACAGCCGGCCTCTCTGCCCATGAGGATGAGGAAACTACCGGACTCCTTCTTCAGGCAGCCGGATTCCCGAGGCCACTCCAGACAAGTACTAATAACTGCACTGTGCTGATTTACAGCGCAAACAAACTACATAACACACACAGAGTGACCATAATAATAATAATAATGATAATAATAATCACAATAATAATAATAATAGATGTGTCATGTAATCTTGCACTAGCTGTTGTGAGTAATAAGGTAAAACTGCAGTTAATAACCTTGACCTATCTGGGACAGGCCTCTATATGGGACAGGTCTTTAATTTCTTTAACGCAAAAGTCTTGCTCAGCAAAAATGGGAAATACTATCAAATAGTTTATTTAAACTAATATGAATATTACCCCATTTTTTAGGTTATGGAATAAAAAATAAATTGCAAATCATTCATTTGGTTGAATTGTGGAGAATGAGAAGTATGTCGAACAATTTATATTTGTATGTACGATCTGAGCAGCTGTAGGGTGACCTGGGGGATTTTAAGAGGTTTTATATGTCCAAAGAATTCCTATAAAAGAGAGACCAGGTGTCTAATTGAGACCTGCATTTATTTGTCAAAAAGTGTAGCCACACAATGCTATTGAACAGGGACCTGCTTGTAAACTGGGACCCTGCTTTTAATTGGAATGTTACCTTATGCAGATATAGATATATGGAAAGATATTTCTCATTAATATTTGTCCACATAAAAGTATTGGAAACATTCAGTCCAATGAAGTCCTAAAACAACAACAGTTTTGACTGTTGATGAATTTGTAGGTTTTCTTGATGAATCGATTATTTGTATGGTCTATAAAATGTCAGAAAACCCCAAAGTGAGATCTTCAAATGTCTTGTTTTATTCCAGCAACAGTCCAAAAGCCAAAGATGTTTAATTTACTATCTATTTGCTATTCACTAAGTGTGACAATGAATAATGACTAAAACAATTATATATTTATAAAGTTATTATTTAGATTCAGACAGTTTCGGTTTCCAGCTTATAAAATCTGAGGATTTGCTGCTTTGTTGACTGAATGTCTTTCATCGGGTTTTGACTGTTGGTTGAACAAAACAAGCATTTGACCAAGATGTGACCTTGGGGAGATTGTGGTGGGCATTTATTACTGATATTTTACTGACTAAACAACCAATTATTGAACAATATAATATCCACAAAGGTAGTATTTATGGCAGGGCTGTTTTACTGGATGTGTTTACATTTCTCTGGTCAATCTGGTCCAATTTGTCTAACTCTGGTTATATCAATTATATTTATTTGTAGAGACTATAAAAGATATTGTAGATGTTCTAATGAGGGTCTACTTTCGACAATTCTGATACAGTTTTCTTGTATTAGGTATGTTGTTTTGTATTTCCAAGACCTACCTTCTTGCTGCAGTAAACATTTCATTGTGTTATTGGCAGTTCAGGCAGCAGCTATCCAATATGCCCAATATTATTTTTAAAACTCTATTATAAAATCTGTAGTCATCTGGCCTCTGGTGTAGTGATAAAAATGGGAAATGGAAAAGTCATGGGAGATTTGCTTTTAACACCGTAAAAAGGAAAAAAAAGAGGAAAAAATAATTTTCAGATTCATCAAAATGGCTTTTACTACAGAGTTACTGTATTTTGAGTTATTTCAGAGTTACCACACTTAAACCACAACTATAATCCAACTAGCCTACAATTGGATCTCACTAGATGCACTTAAGGGTCACATTTTAGCCTTTATCTTCTTGAGTTTCACATATACTAGCTGGGTGTTAGAAGCAAAGAAGGCTTTCCGATCATTTAACTTTAATGTGAAATGTTGTTAATTTATTTCATGAGCAGCAAACCCACCTTGAATTTTATCTCTTAGATTTGTAGATGTTGCTCAAACATTATTAACAGGGCTTGGCACGTAGTCCTGAAACTTAAAAATGCTTAATCTTAACCGTCATGTTTTCAAGGTTAGGAATATACTTGAATCGAATATCGTCCTTGAAAAATGCTTTGTTTTCAACATAACACGTGTTTCAGCTACACAATCAATCATCTAAACCTGTAAAATATTTTTATATTTTAAATCAAACAATCCTGTTATTTGTTGTCTCATGGCGTGTTTCGTCATTCATAGCCAGAGAAGTCCTCTGTTGATCCCTTACTCTGGAAATTAGCAAGCATTTAATATCCATCATCAAACATACAATCAAATTCATTAATATAAGCAGCTGGTAAAATAAACAAATTGACGATATACATTGATTGCTGTGTTTCTAAAAGTAATTCTGTAAACTTTATTTTTTGCAATTGCATTTATAATAACAATTTTAGATATGATGATAAAGGCGTTGAGAGTCTGGAAATGTTTAGGTTTGGGTACTTTTAAGTGTTTGAATTGTACTCTTAAAAAACTGTATAAATCCTGAATATAATTCCAGAAACTTGTTGAACTAAAATCAACACAAAAGCAACTTTCAGATAATCTTGCCAACAATATTAAACCACCAGCAGCACCTCAGGAGAAGGAATAAAACCACCGGTTAAAGTAAAGCAACCAGTTTCACTGTTTTTCCTCCAAGCCTTTGTTTTTTTTTTCACTTTGGTTTCATCCAAACCTTTTCTTCCTGCTGGTTTATGTTTCTGATTGCTGTTTTGTGGACTCGTCACGGCAGTTGTTAACCCTGCTCGTTTCTCGTCAGGCCAGTTCGGATGGAGGTGTGTGCGGCTCCCTCACTCCTCATCACGTCCGCGCCCATTCCTCCCCTGCCTCCCTCCCAGTCAACTCTCTCTCCACTCAAGCAGCCGATGTAGCAGCAACAACGATCATACCTGACGACGTGCCACTCCCCATAGGTTGGGAAATGGCCAAAACGCCTACTGGCCAGCGTTACTTCCTCAAGTAAGGTCTAACTTCTGTTTGTCAGTGTGTTTGATCTGTTGCTCTGCAGGTTACTTGAAGGGTTTCAGATCCAGAGAGTCAATCCCACCTTGCTCCAACATCTACATTTCTATATTGGCACTGATCCTATTCACAGCTGCAATTACTGATTATTTTTATTGTTTGTTATTTTGGTCTAAAAAATATCAGAAAATAGTGAGAAAAATACTCCTCAAAACCCCCAAAGTTCAAGCTGATAAATCAAAAAAGGTTCAATTAACGCTTATATAAAATAGAAAAAAAACAGCAAATCCTTACATTTGAGAAGCTGGAACCAGCAAAATTTCTGCTTGATAAATTATTTTTTATTATTCAAATGATCAGAATAGTTTTGCTACAGATAATTAAAAGTAAAGGGAAACAGTGAAGAGAGACATGTAGCAGTGCAGATAAAACCAGGAGCCAACCTAATCAGTTCCATGTAAACAGAAAATGTTCCAACTAGTTTTGCAACCAGTGTGGTTTCAGCTAGTTTCCTTCATGAGAGCACATGGCCTGACAGCCACTGGAGCACAAGCAGTGATGATTGTATGTGAGAGTGTAGATGTACGTGCGCATCTGGTAGTACAGGTAAAGCAGGTCCGAGGCAAAACGTGCCTGACGCTTCTTATCCATCAGGTTGCAAGCGGTGTAACAGATACAGATATGTTTAGACTTGTTGTGTGTTTGCAGTCACCTGGATAAGACAACTACTTGGCACGACCCCCGACTTTCACAGCTTCAGTCGGCTGCAGCTCAGCATCCTATCTCTGGCACTCCGGTCCACGCCCACTCTCTCAGCAACCCAGCACCCACTACGCAACCACAAAACATCAATCCAGAGACAGGTATCACTCTCACACCCCCACCCCCCTCCCACCTCACAATCCAGTTTCTTTTGAAAGCACAGACCTGCTTTTCATAGTTCTACTACATCGGCAGCGGGTCAGGTTTTTTAGCTGGGTGTGATTTCTTCGGGATTCCCTTTTGGTGAGTTATGAGATGGAGACAATAGAAAGCTGAAAAAAGTGTGAAGAGACAGAGATAAGGGAAGATCCCCAGCTGGACTTGGTCAGCATCTGAAAGGGGAGGTTTTTCAAGTCTGTCTAAAAACTATATTCAGGTGCCCGTATTAACATACAGCCAGGTTTGGCTTAATGTAATTATTACTCCTGTTCATGCTGGACGTTAATAAATCTCTTACTAAATTGTTTCTAATGATATGAACTCAGACCTCTGAAGCCTCAGATAAACTTTTGAAAAGGACTGTGGATTTTGTCTCCCATCACTTACATCTTGTCAGGAAGGGATCTTGTTAAGTCCAATATGAACAGAAAGGATGATTACAACAAATATTGTTTTCAAATGTGACCTGATTATTGTTTTAAGACAGGCTTGAAAAATTGTGAAGCTATCCTTTAAAACCCTGGGCCTCAAGGGTGCCCCTGTTCACCCTCAATATACAGTCGGGATAATGAAATTTGTGGCTCATGGTATTCAGAAGTGAAATAACAATGAATCACCATTAAAGCAGCTATAATCATTGTCTTTATGTTAATCGGTAACATGACTACTTATACTTACTGATGAAGCCACAGAAAGTCTCTCTGCAGTTCCCCCTCAGCTCTACAGGCCATTTTAGCATCATTCAGCTCATTGTTTTGGTTGTCAAGTAGTTGGTAGTTGGTGGAGGCCAAAAACACAGCTAAAAGAGAGGTAATATTGGACTTACGTTCACCAGGGCACAGAAACAACTGTTTGCTAACAGGTTCACTTTAACAGCTCAAGTTGTGTTGTTTTTCCAGTTTGTTTCTGCTGCCCTCAAGTGGCCAAAACATCAGTGAATGCAGGTTTAATGATAATTAAGCGAAGTGTTTTTCCAGAAATAGTCCCAGTTACTCCAGATAATCCACAGACCTGCTGTGAACAGTTTTCATTTAAACTACTTTCTACTGTAAAAATAGTCCCACAATGTGTTCTGTGGATTATTGAGAATAATGGGGATAGTGTTTCTGTAAAGAGATGTTGCTGTTGAGTGTAATTATATGGTAATTTGGCTGAACAGACCCTTTTTAGGAATAAAACAATTTGCAATCTCTCTTTTTTTCACAAAGAGCACTGTTGGCAGTATTATACACTTGTCTCATTTACTGTAGTGTTTTACACTATCCCACCCCCTGCAATTAAGGCAAGAACATACTATACTGTAGCTATTTACCCACTTACCTTCAGTTCTATTAATAAAATCTCTACAAACTAGAAGCTACACAGACACTAAAGGACGTGGGCCAGATTCTACTTTTTACTCTCCATGCACTACATCCACCATTTGCCTTCTCACTGTGTACTTTCACTGCTGTTCAGGTCCACTGCCTGAAGGCTGGGAGCAGGCTGTGACTGCAGATGGAGAGGTGTACTACATCGATCACATAAATAAGACCACCGCATGGGTCGACCCGCGTCTAGGTAGCACACTATCAAATTTGTGTCTCCTGAATTGACACATTTTGTTCCAATGTCCACCATCACAAGTTGCTGTTCTGGCAACGAAAATAAGAAAGATCGCAAAGTTTTGAAATGTTTTCCTCATGTTTTTCATTGCTGAAATATTTGACCTCCATGGGACTATTTACTTAATCGTCAAAAAAATTCTCTTCCTATGAATCTTATGTTGCAGCCCAGAAGATGAACCCCGGCATCCTTGGATTGGCACTGCAGCAAAGGCAGGAAAAGGAAAGGCTCAGATGCAAACAACAAGGCCTTCCTCAGCAAATCACACCACAGGTCAGAGGTCAAATAAAATTATACTTGGATGAACTCACATTTAAGTTATTTCTTGTGATATGTAGTTTTACGGTATATTCAGTTCAGATTTAACGGTAATTCAATAGTTTTTTTCATGTGAACAGAGTTTGAGTTTTACATGACATTTCACAAACGTGTGTGTGTGTGTGTGTGTGTGTGTGTGTGTGTGTGTGTGTGTGTGTGTGTGACATTTCACAAACGTGTGTGTGTGTGTGTGTGTGTGTGTGTGTGTGTGTGTGTGTGTGTGTGTGTGTGTGTTGTAGGAGGCAGGAGGTAGGAACCAGATGCCCGGTGGGATGGACCATGACAGGAACGCACAGACGCTTGTCCCTTCTCTGGATGTCAGGATCAGAGGTTCAAACCATGAACCCACACTTAATGGGTGAGTTCTTGTTTAATATTATTGTCATGTGCTGTAGATCTCATTTTGGGACAAAAGTGGAAAAAGTATTTATAACCTCCACATAGCAGTAACACAGTGTAGAAATAATCAATTAAAAGCTAGTTTTCTTGAGTATTAACTGTAAAAGTAAGGAATGCCCTTTTCTGAATGTAACCAAATGATTATTTATTTTGCTGCCACTACCATAAAGTGGAGATAAACAGAATTCCATTTGTGCAACTTAAAGCATTGAAAATGATATTTGAAAGACTCAACAGCAGCAAAATCTAGAAAAGATGTCCCAGTTACTCTGAACAATCTCTCTGCCCACAGTTTTCATGAAGAATATTTCTCTGACAGAAGGTAGTAAACTTATATTGTTCCAGGAAGAATGATTGTCTATGTGATTTCCATGAATTGTTCTTTCATTTCAATGACTATGCAGCATTTTTACTATAACAGATGATGTCGGTGTGTGTTTTTTGTGTGTGTGTTATTGTGCAGCGCTCACTCTCGCAACGAGAGCACCGACAGTGGTCTGAGCGTCAGCAGCTTACCCCGCACATCGGACCACATGTTGAGCTCTGTGGATCATATGGACACTGGTAAAACTTACATGCACACAACAAAGTCAGAAAGATAGCCCCGAGGTTTCCACAGTGGAAAGGCAGCTTTTCGTTTTGTTTTTGAATATCATCCAAACTCCATAATAAATATGTGTGTTTTTAAGTAATGATGAACACAGTGTCCAGATGTGCTAGTGTTGATCTAAACATACTCTGCAGCCAAAGGGAAGCAGTTTATTGTGGGAGTAAATATGTAATAAATTTGGCCACAATGACATAATATTGGCTTATTTAGCTGTAATACCTTAAATCACAGGTTCTCAAACTATGGTACGTGTACCGCCGGTGGTACGGGAGCTACCTCTAGTGGTACGCAGAGGAATCTCTAAAATATTTAAAACATATTTGAAACATATAATGCTATCAAAATACTTAAATAATGAGATCACTCAAATGTTTATTCCTAATCTTAATAGGAATACACCTGCCTCCTCCGTGAACTGTCCTTAGCTGAATACAGTCGGCCTACGTAACTTTATTTAAACATCCCTCATCATGATGCTACTTTGAGAGCCTTTTTCTGAGGTGGTACGCGATGTAAAAAAATTGAGAAAAATTTAAACACACCCTTAATTTACTTACTTTAGAACTAAGAACTATGGTATGCTTTAGTATAATTGGTTGTAAACAATGACCTTTGCATAACCCATGTGAAACAAATTATTTCCTATGACAGTAACTTTTACCAAAGACAATAAATAATAATTTGTGTACATTTATTTTGGAGTCGACTAAAAATGTTGTGAAAAGCACCCCGTCGAACTTCTTACATTTATTTTTAGGCTATTATACAGAAGTGGTCGATAGAAAACATGAATTGTGCATTTTATTAATTTACATACACACCACAACATACAAAACCTTTATATGTCATACTGGTCCAGGTGCAGCTGTATTAAAAGACACAATGTAAAAAATGTTTATGCAAATTCACAAATTTCTATCAGCTCACTGTTGATATTTAAATTCTTCTTTTGTGACTTCTTCAGGCGACTCTGGCGAGACCTCCTCGATGACTTTACAGGAGTCGATGCCTGTGCTGCCGATGTCTGAGGGCGAGGAGCTAATGCCCTGCATCCCCGAGGGTCTCAGTTCAGACCTTCTGATGGACATGGAGACCGTTCTCTCTGGGTCGCACATGGACAGAGACAGCCTGCTCACCTGGCTATAGACACAACCGGCCACCGCCCCCCAAATGTGGTTTAACGTCAAATCTTCATAACGTGACTGAGAATTCTGGAGAATCGAAAGTGGTACAAAACAACATTGCTGAGAGAATATGCTACTGTTGTGTGATGGATACCTAACACTACTCGCACCCTGAGGAATGAAAAAACCCTGACTCTCACAGAGGGTGGTAAGCTGCTGGTATTCTCCTCTTTTTTTGGGCCTGGTTTTACACAGATGCATGACGGAGCATCCATGTTTTAGAGACACTCCTTTCTTTTTAGTCATCAGCCTCAGATGATGCTCCCCCCACGTCTCTGGTAAAGTGCGTCACAGCTAATTTTAGAGTACAGATTTATTTTTATTAGCCCCACTTGGGTAACACTGTTTGCAGCAGACTTTTTTTTAAAAACACAGTGTAAAGTCATGAAGTTTGCATGTAGCAAAAGAAGACTATAACGTAAAAGATCTCTCTAAAGTAGAGTTGTTCCGATACTGATACCAGTATTGTAAATTCCTAAGATACTGCCTAAAATGTGGTATTAGGTATCAGCGAGTACGACTGTCTGTGCACCGATCCAATAGCATGTAATGTATTAGCCCCAAAACGGGACTCTGCTGGGAAGTAGCAGGCTACCATTTGTATTTTTAAGTCATGTTGCCCTATTTTGACTCTGACAAAGTGAGGCAGGCCAAACAATGACAGCAATCATACAGGCTAAGTAGTAAAAGCTTGTTAAAAAAGAACATATATATTTCTTTTAAACGCATGTACAAAAAGTTCAGGCATCAGAATCGGTATCGTGAAGGAAAAATTTGTATGGGAACATCTCTACTCTAAAGATATTTAACAGTAACTGAAAACATCATATCCACTTGTAGTGCATGTAGTGCTACTACCTCTAAGCAGCCTGTAATTTGTCATTTTAATGCTCATAGTCGTACAAAATATGTTCTTAAGAAGCGTCAGGACTGAGAGCATGAGATGAATTAAAGAATTTACCTGGATTAACACTACATTGGTTCCATAAAACCAAAAATCTGCTCAAAAAAGGCTCGTCAAAGCTCGCGCTACCACTGCTATGCAGACATCAGGGGCGATACGCACCCCTTGTGGCGAGTTAGTAGCGGATGAAGAACACTAACAGGAGTCCCATTTAACTCTAGAAACAGTCAGTCAAAATGCTTACAAGCCAAAAAACAGTATTAAAATCCCTCTGTGTGGAAGACTGTAGGGCTGCTCAAGACCAAGATTGTAATATCTTTAAGGTGTTTTTTTAATTAAGTTAAGGAGGATAAACTTAGGTCACAGTGAAGACCTCATTCCTAACCAATCAAAGCCTGTTAAAAGCCGCCAGAAATAAAGGCTACAGGCTAGTGCCACTATGTAGAGGAGTCTTAACTTTGGGCACTAAAAATACAATAAAGTGTGTTTTTAGGAGCACTGGACACGTGTTCAGTATAATGCAATCCAACACAATACAAGGTTTCCCCCTGCAGACTGTGATCATGATACTGTTAATAGATGGCAGCCTAAACTATAACCACACTAGATATATGCCCTTTGCTGTGTTGAACAGCATATAAATGTGTGTTAATTGTTGAGAACATTAGTTCAACTTTGCTCTAAAACACTCCAGGAAACCCTGCACCGGCCTTGCTACACTTTACCTTACTAATATTCAGTATTGTGTTGTAGTTTTTTGTCGTATTGGATTGCATTTTATTGTGAAGTGTTCCAGTCATTTTGTCCACTCCAGCATTGAATATAAGCTTCACAAAGGTAGTATTTATTCGAGATTTGTTTTATTGGATTACATTATATTGTACAGTTGTAGTGTTAAGAAATGGTGCCACATAATTGTCATCACAACCTGGACATGTTCTCTCCTTAGTGTGCAGCAGAGATTTAAGCACTTTCTACTAATCAGTGCTGATACAGCTCTCAGCGGCTCTGAAACATACATGAAAAATATTCAATTTATCAGCCAGCAACTTTCAGAGGCTGTTAAGCTGTTTTATTCCCTTTTCTCATTTTTCCCACTATTGGCTCGATACATTCCTCACAGTTTCCTTTTTTCACATTTATTCATTCAGTGGCATCATAAATGTTCTTCCCACAGAAAGATATACAACCAGTAACCGCCTAAGCCAAGTTTTCACTCCTTAATTACAAATCATCTACACTTGATACTTTTGCTGACCATTTTTGAATGCATGCAGTACAGACTTAGCCATTCAGATGCACTTTTCTTACCATTTCAGGCATCCATTGTTTTTTCATTTCCGAAATCGATGAGCAGACTCTTGAAACTTGCTTGAGTGATGTCATTGCTCTCTGTGAACAGTCCTTGCATTATCGTGGCGTAATAATGCGATTTAAGTGCGGATTAAGTTAAAGAGCCTACGCTGCATTACCAAACACAGTGATAATGTAACACCAAGAGAAATATAAAGGACCATACAGCAATATGACATCTTTTCACAATATTCTCTGGTGAATACAACATTCATTTAACGTGTGAATGTGTAAAAGGCTTGAATATCCATTTTTCAATACAATACAGCTAATTCTGTATTTTTTAACCTAATTCAAAACACAGTAAACTTAAACCCCTCCATCTCTTAAAGGTCCAGTGTGTAACATAATTAGGGGGCTCTATTAGCAGAAATGGAATATAATATTCATGCGTGTTTGTTTTCATTTGTGTATAATCACCTGAAAATGAGATGTTCTTATCTACAGAGGGAGCGGATCCTCTGACACGGAGGCCGCCATGTAGAACCGCCATGTTTGTATAGTAGCCCAGGACGAATAACTCCTTTCAAAGTCAAGACTCTGGTAATCGATTGCACAACAGAAGCAAGTTTCAAGATCCTGCTAATAGATTCTCATATTGTATGTCGTAGATGCCTGGAGCAGTTGAAAACACATTCAAACCTCTAAAGCAGTGCAGCATGCTTAGCAAAAATACTATAACAGTGATATAAAAATGTATGTGAGTTGTTGTAAATAGACTAAAACATGCAAAATCACTGGCATAATCCTTTAAACACACAATCCTGGTCAGTGCCACTAAGATATTAGTGTGCTACCACTCTGTAGAGTTATCATTTCCTCTGTCTGCGGCTCCAGTTTTCCACTCTTAAAGAGTTGCATACTAGTAACATACTAATTGCAGATGCTGTGTTCTTGGTGTATTTTGTTCTAACTGCTAAGTGCTATCTGGTGCTCTAATACAGAAAGGCAATCATCAGTATGGGGAGCTCTTTAATTCTCCTTGTTTAGTTATACTATATAATAAGTATATAATCTGTTTTTTATCCGCTGGGTTGTTTCTGCAGTGTGTTTATATTTTATCTGAATTCGAAGCTGTTCATTTTATTTTATTTTTTTGTGAGAGCATTTCTTTCTAACCAGCTTCCTTTTTTATATATACAGGATATAGAGGTAAAGACTTCATTCACAACATCCCCGAATAAAAAGAGCCAAGTCACCTAATCTTTTCTAAATTAAAGTACCATGGGCCTGGAGCGACTTACTGTTCATACACATAATGCAACACACTACCTAGCCTATTATTTATCTTAGCATGCATGACACTTGCTATGTATGTTACATATAATGATGTTTTATTATCCTATTTACAGAGAGTTTTGGAGGCAATCAAACTTGTTTTGTACCTTTTTATGCATGTGCTTTATATAAATATATTTCTTCTTATTCTCACTGTAATCATTTTAAAGGAGTTTCTGTTTAATAAACTTTTAAATACACCTGGCAAGTAATAGTTTCAAATGGTTGATGTGTCTTATGTGGCTCGTCCTTGGTATTGTTGTAAAACTACATCCCAGGGGTTTTATTGGATGACTGGTTTCAATTGTGTTTGTATTTCTATTTGTACAATATGTTCATTTAACTTTGCTGGCGTCTGTTTGGTATGGCAGGGAGTGGCAGTGAGTTTAACTGAGTGCAGATTGAGTGTTCAACTTTTATAGCTTGCTGCAAACCTGTCATACTGTGGATGTATGAAATACAAACATTATAGCATCCAATAGGGAGGTAACTATAAACTCAACTCACTATTCAGTACAATTAAATTCACGATACTCCGTTCAACATATTTTTCACAAAATGAGATCGAGCTTTCTTAAGACAAAAATTTACTATATATATATTCTATTATATTTTCTATATATTTTAAGGGAGCAGTTTTTATTTCTGAGGTAGAGCATAAAAAACCCAATGCTTATTTCCTTTTCTTTTTTGAAAGTGAAACCGGTGCCTTTGTGCCTTGATACAGCTACTGACGAGAGTGATGTTAGTCAAAGGTAGAGTTGCAATTTGTTTTTATCTCACCGATTTGAATCTTCACATATTTGTATCGTGATTTAACTGTCCCGTGATATATCTTTATATTACTGGCATCCAACCACAATGTCATCAAAAACCTTTTGAAAACCCCAATATGAAAAACACTTCTTTGGAAATACCAAAGAATACCAAATCAAACCAATCAATCAGTTATCTTATGTCACCAGGATTGTCCACTCAGTGTCACTATTGCTTTCCAGAAAGTCCTGGATTTAGTATATATATATATATATATATATATATATATATATATATATATATATATATATATATATCAACATAATCAAGTGCACTGCCATACATTTATCATTACACAATTAAAAGCTTGAAGACTATTCCCTTGTAGACCTGTTCTTGAACGCAACACTTAAGGTTGTAGGGATTTCCAGAAGATGTGGATCTTATAACAATAAAATCTTTATTTATCTTAATTAACTAAACTAAAAGATCAGTGTGTAAGCAGTCAATAATGGAAAATTATTAAAGACCTACTCCACCGTATAACGTGTTTTCTTTAAGCTGTAAACTCAACTATATGATTGTACTGTCATGAAACTACTGGTGAAACACATCAATACCAGTTATGAAAATAAGAAAAATGCCCCCTGAAGGGACCCAGGCACTGTGCACATGTTTTGAAAGAATTATAGGTACTTTATAAAGAATTGGATTAAGGGGGATGAGACAAAGCCAAAGGTCAATCTTTGTTAACGCAGTCATTGTGGTAAGGGGCGTGGCTATAACTGGGGAATACCACACAGTAAAGTCACTCATTGAAATGATGCCTTCACATGATTCACTGTGTCTTCACCATCTGACTTCAACAGGGCCTCCATGTAAGTATCTTTTGACAATATTTCTTGTTCGATTATTTTAACTTTAGTTATAAACTTTGGATAATGTAAGTGACAGGTTGCCGACTTTCTGACGTAATGTTGTCGCTATAGTGAGGAGAAAGTTATAAGTAATATAATAAGTGTTAGCTCTGTTTACAACAGGTTATATAAAAAATATCTGTTTACATTTCTAATTTTATTGGACATGTAACCTTGGAAACATTGTAGCCTAAGTATAAACATATATATAATGTAATATATTAATAACTTATATTAGTAATTGTATGAAATGATTAGCTGTTCACATAGTAATGTGTATATATGTGTATGTGTTAATATTTATACAGATTAAAGACTTAAAGACATTATTAGTAGCAGGTTTACAGCTCTCTGCAGGTTGTTGGAATTGTTTAATGTGAGGTTTTCATTATTTTTTTTTTTATCATTATAAGACTCTGTTAACAAGAGAATAATATTAATTTGATATTGCCAGTCACAAAAAGATCTTTGCATATATTAGGATTACAATCATAACAACATATTTATGGTTTTAATTTAAGGTCCAAAATAAGGTTGTTTCAGTGCAACTGTGACAAAATGTGCAGTTTCAGAGTTGATCTTTATTTATACACACTATCTAACGTTATTAATTTGTAAGACAGTCTCCTTTGTGTGTTTGCACTCATTTAATATCCTAGTTTTCCAGCAGATGCTGTAACAACAAAAGCATTTGATGCATGGCAACATGAAAGCTTCTGATCTAACGTACAGTTCATTGTATAACTCATCTATATGAGGGCTGATGAAACCAGCAGAGCTCAGGGACTCCAGGGCAGAGACTGACATTACCTTGAGGGATTTACCTGAGAAATGTCTAACCAGTTTACATTCTCTGTTCTGTTTTCGTTTCACTGGTAACCGGAAGCAGCGGGAGGCGGCGGCGGCTGACGAGAAGCTTCCTGGACACTGGGACTTTCCATCCGGACTCAGTTGCGTAACGGTGAGTGTCTTACCCAGCGGAAAGGGACTGATACTGAACTGCGTATGTGTTGTCTCCCGTATGTCTGAGACACCAGAAGCAGTTTTAGTGTCCTTTCTTCACGCTGCTGAGCAGATTAATGTTTGCGGGGACGTGTAAAGTTTGACAGATATTAGCGTTGGCAGGGCTAGCGTTAGCATGCTAATGTCCGTTGATCGTGTACAAACCGGTTTCTGTGGGCGGTTGAATGTCACTCAGCAACTTTTATCTACCTGTGTGTTTTAATCGATGCTTTATGCAAGAACACCTGTTTAAAATGAACTGTATTATAATGTTTATAGTATTATTAATAGTGCGACACACAGTGCTAACATTAGTAAGCTAGAGCTGAACCAGGAGGTGCTTGGTGAGTGACGCTGTAGGAAAGTACCCAGAAGAAATACCACTCTGTCATATCTCACTTTATTTCCGAAAGGTTGGACTTTAAGGCCAAAATAAGTAATGGGTAGATTGATAGGAAATTGGTTGGCAGCTTTGTTAAAGGGGTACTCCACCGAGTTTCCACACTTTAGTGTTAACACTGTGAAAACAATTGAATGATGTCATCTGTTGCTTTATAAAGTAACCCTGAGATTAAAAACATAAAGTGCATGAAGTTTGAGAGACATTTACGAGGCACAAACAGAGTTATCTTCTTGGTTGCGTTATGGGAAATGAAGTACCCAGTGATAAGGGTATATTGGCCTATTGACATCTGTAATTGATTCAAAATTGCCAAGCAGTTTATGTTTCTGGACTCTCAAATGTGAGAGTTTGTTGCTTTTCTGTAATGTGTAGCCAGCTTTGACTGTTGGTCGGACAGAACAAGCAACCGTGTCACCTTGAGCCCTAAGAAATTGTAATTTAGACTATGTGAATCATTAATTGCCAGATTTATTTGTTGAAGCCATACACACTTTGTAATTATTCACCAGTGAATGATTGCACAAAATCTTTCTTCCCAATATATTCCTCTTTTTTTATATACATATGTTGCACTGGAGTTAGAATTAATACAATTTGACAGCAAAACAAATTATCTATCTTTTTGTTTTGGCACTGTTTTAAAACTATAAAACTTATCTTAAGTGAAATACTCAAATAATGAAGTCTAATAGGAAAGTAAAGAATGTTAATTTGTATAGAATTGAACGTTGCTGATTGTAATGATGAACCTGCCAAAGGGTATATGACTTCGAAACACATACAAAAAAGTTAAAGTCCTCCATGAAACATTTCTATATGAACAAATTCAATGTTTTTCAATGCTGTTCTTTTCTTCTACAGGTCCTGCTCTCATTAAACTGAAGAGGGACGTCGATTATCCTTACGAAAGGAGGATAAACATTTTCTTATTGGGTTTTTACTATTCAATTATGGAAGCTTAGACACCTACAAAAGGGATGTCCGAGATGGGGGGAGGGGTTTGAGAGCACATATCCCTTGGTCTGTCTGTGTGTGTCTGTGTGTGTGCGTGAGACATTTATTTAATTTATAATGTTTGTACACATAATCACATACCGTATGTTTCAGTTTGACTTGTCTTTGCTGAATATACAAGATAATAAAGTGTATACTGATCCTGGGTGATTTGACCACAGTGTAATGCTATGATTTTTGATTTGAGGGTGGGGAGGTTGAAGTTTCAGCAGCAGATTGTTCAGGGGTAGTACCCTCTACTATGTACAGGTAAAATGGATCCAGGTGTGAAGTATAGGCTGTATGCAGGGAATAAGATGTTTGAGGAAAATAAATGACAAATGTTTCCTTGGGAACCACCTGCAGTTTGTATTTAGTGCTGATGGTGGTGGTTCCTGGTAGTTTTGTTTCTTCTGCACTCTTTTAAGTTTCACATTTGCCCAATTCTCGCTTTCGTTTTCAAAGTTTTTGTCTTTTGATTTAATCCCCTCCCCTTCTTCCCTCTGCTCTATTTTACTACTGCCTGTCTCAGTGTGAGTGAGTGTGTCTGTGTGAGAGAGCAAGACCTTGGGTTTTCTCAAACCCCTCTCCCTTTGAAGGACATCTCTTTTGCCCACATATTGCTCTACATAAAAACAAATATGGAAACTCTTATTCAACTCAAAAACAACCCGTTTTTGATGGGGTTGTGTCGCAACGGCCCTCCTCCTGACCTGCAATATGATAACTCCTCAGGTACCAATCTGTTTATTCTGTTCTGTTTATTAGCATTTTATTTTTTTTAATCTGACCTTCTGATACGTTCTTATCTCAAAAAAATGTTTCTTTCATCCCCAGAGCTCTACCGCATCTCTACCTTTGCTCGATTCCCAGCTTCGGGAGTCACAGAGCGAAGTCTGGCGAGGGCAGGCTGGTTCTACACTGGCGTGGGTGACCGCGTACAGTGTTTCAGGTGTAACGTGACGGCAGAGGGATGGCAAGCCGGGGACTGTCCAACAGAGAAACACAGACAGCTTTCTCCTTCTTGCTCGTTCATCCAGAGCCTCCCATCTACAGCCAACCTACTCTCCTCATCTCACTCCGCCTTCTCCCCACTCCGCATTGCCCCAGCCATACCAGTAAGATAAAAAAAAATGTTTTTCTTAAAATTAATTACATTCTACACTTAGTGTAAGAAAGTTCACCATTCTACCTTTAAAAAAATATCATTGCTGTTGAAAAGTAATGAAATTGTTTCTTTTTGAGAACAGAGTCACTTGTTATCTGTTTAAATTCTGAATATTTTGCTTCTTCCAGCTTTCTGGTCCAGGGCCAGCTGCTCCTAACCCGTCAGCAAGCCAAGGTGAAGAAGCGGTTGGCTACCTAAACATGGGCTTCTCTGCTCCACCACCCTCTAGCCCACTTAGCTCTCGTGGTGTAGAAGATATGTCCCACCAGAGACCAACGTGCCACAACCCCAGCATGCGCAGAGAGCAGGACCGCCTGGACTCCTTCCACCCCTGGACACTCTCCATCATAACTCCTGCTGAGCTCGCCAAGGCGGGCTTCTACTACCTGGGCCAGGGCGACAGAGTGGCATGCTTTAGCTGTGGAGGACAGGTGTGTAGCTTCACAGGGACTGACAGAAGTGGGCAGCAGGCTACAGTACGTCCCCCTTAACAAACACAGGCTGTACCATTCAGGATAAGTGGGTGTCAGGTTGATAATTGTTTGAACAGTGGACATGACAGAAGTTTGTATTTGCAGTTGAGTAACTGGGAGCCAGGTGACCGAGCCGTATCCGAACACCAGAGGCATTATCCAAACTGTCGTTTTGTGCGGGGGGACAGAGCTGACAACGTTTCGCTGGCTGGAGCTGGATCTGGGGGAGTAACTTCTCAACTGTCTGCAGGAGCTCCAGCTCTCAGTAATGTTTCCAACCCTGCCATGCAGCAGAGCGAAGAGAGGCTGCTCACCTTTGTCAACTGGCCGTCCCGTATCCCTGTCCGGCCTGACCAGCTGGCTAAAGCTGGTTTCTACTACGTAGGTAAGGATAATATCAAAGAGACACAGTTATTCAATGACAGTGACCTGATAATGTTGCTCCATGTCTACTGGATGTGTAAAAAACAACTGGTTGCTAACACGTACGCAATATCAACTTTATATGGTGATAATATGTTACAGATTGTTGAACTCTCTCCACGTGTGGCCAAAAAAAGTCAGTAAATGATTTGTCCCTTCCCTGGGGAAAGAGGAAAGATTGTATAATGTTCGAGCGTTTAGATTTTGGTTAACGTTCTATAAAGAGCCATGCCCCCAAAAAGTAATAATGATGTTCTCTTTTTATAGCAGGTACTTGTTTAGGATTGAGGGTCATTATTTTTATTTTTCTAAATCAAAATTAATCCTAGTATTTAAATCATAAAGCTGTCATTTAAAAAGTTCTCAAAGTCTTACACAGAATTGATTCAAAATGTTCAGAATAGAAAGAAGTCATTTCTTTTCCATTCCTTCCCTTTGGGTTTTGATACCAGTAAGAGTCTCTCCCCCTGTTTGGGGGTGTCCACTGCTGACAGATCTTTTTCAGTATCTGATTTAAAAAAAAATCTATATTCGTGTTTGTTTTCATTCGACCTGGAAAGTCCTGACAGAAATGTTTTAGGGACACCAGTTTATGAATGTGATCTCATTCAAACGTGATACATTTACTACTGCAAGTATCAAGCAAAAGAGGAAATGAGAGCTGAGTAACGAAACGTGTTTCAGATTTACCACGTTTTTTTTTTCTTTCCCTAAAAAAAACCCCCCAAAACCACTTGTGACACTGACAGCTCTTTGTTTACCCTCAAGGTCGTAATGATGATGTCAAGTGTTTCTGCTGCGATGGAGGCCTGCGGTGCTGGGAGTCCGGAGATGATCCTTGGGTAGAACACGCTAAATGGTTTCCTCGGTAAGAACAGCTGTTTGTTTTTTGTTTTGTTGTTGTTGATTGTTTAATTTGACACAATTTGCACTTGTGGAAACAAAACGAAAAGGCCGGCAAGACTAATAATCTGATGGTATTTAGATGGCTCATATGTTTGTATTTGTGTTTCTCTGGTTAATTGCAGGTGTGAGTATTTGCTTCAGGAGAAAGGACAAGAGTTTGTTCACCAGATCCAGGCTCGCTTCCCTCGGCTGTTTGAGCAGGTTAGTAGAGATCAGCATAAAAATCTGTTCTTGGTTTAAACATTTGGCGTAGAACAAGTCATTTAAAAACCCTTATTTTTCTGTTTTCTCCCTCAAAAGCTTTTAACAAATGGAGACAGCAGCTCCAGAGAGTTTGTGGATCCACCTGGTGAGTTTGAATTTTGTGAAGATTTTAGACTTTATACAACATACTTATTGAATATATCATTGAGCTTGAGCTCTTCCTCTTAGTGGTTCACCTCGGTCCGGGAGAGGAGCGGTCTGAGGACGCTGTCATGATGAACACCCCTGTGATTAAGTCTGCGTTAGAGATGGGCTTCGAGCGTAGTCTAGTCAAGCAAACAGTGCAGAGCAAGATCCTGACCAGTGGAGAGAACTACAGAACAGTTCAGGAGCTGGTTTCAGACCTGCTGAGTGCAGAGGACCAGAAAAGGGAAGAAGAACGAGAGATGCTGGCGGAGGCGATGGCATCAGGTACAGATGGTGGTGAAAATGTAATGTGTTAGTGGTACTATCAGCAGCTCTTGGTTTAAAGACCATGAACAATAAATTCTTTCTTGCTTCAGATGGTTTCACCTTTGTGAAGAGACACCAGGCAGCGCTGATCCAGCGTCTGAAGAGCGTTGAGCCAGTGTTGGAGCATTTAAGAGAGCAAAATGTGTTGTGTAAGTTTCTCCTTTTTCTGTGTTTCAGTTTGATTTCAGTGGTTATATGGATGCTAATTTAAAAAAAAAAAAAGGTTTTTCCTTGCCACTGTCACCAAGTGCTTGCCAATGGTGCGAACTGTTGGGTCTCTGTAAAGAACTTAATGATAACGATTTTAACGATAACTTCTGTTAAGATTTGGAGCTATACTAGTAAAATTTACCTTGTAGAATTTATTATTATTTCTGACAAATTATATTTTTGCAAATTATCTGAGAATAATTGGAGTGGTGATTGTACCATACAGCTGTGGCTGTGATTGTGAGTAACTCTTCTTCCCCTGTTAACCCGCAGCTCCCGAGGAGTACAGCGGTCTCAAGGCTCAGACATCTGCCCAGCAGCAAACTGCCAGGCTGATAGAGCTCGTTCTCACCAAGGGAAACGCCACGGCCGAGGTCTTTCGCAACTGGATCCAGAAAAACGATGTCCACCTGCTCAGAGATCTCATGGGTACGTCACAACCCTGACCTTCTGACAACACTTGTCACAGAAAGAACGTAGACGTAGAAACATTTTTAAGTTCTAGTGTGTAACATTTAGGAGGCTCCATTGGCAGAAAGGGAAAAATATAATATTTTCATTATATTGTTTTCATTAGTGTTTAATCACCTGAACATAGGAATGGTCGTGTTAGATGTTTGTATCTATAGAGAGAGCAGGTCCTCTTCTACGAAGTCAGCCATGTTTCTACAGTAGCCAAGAACAGACAAACACTTGCTCTAGATCAGGCCTTTTGGGTTTTTTACCAATACATTTTCATGGCCACTGTAGTTTCTTACACACTTGGAACGAGCGTGTTCAGTTAACTGTTAGATGCCTCTAAATCCTACACACTAGTCCTTTAAGCATGAGATAGCTCTTCAGAGGTGCAAAGTACAAGTTTTCATTGAGAGTACATTTGTTTTTGTTTTGCATTAAAGACTGTGCTAACTACATGTTCTCCTTCACATTTTCAGCCCAATCAAATGAAGCAGCATCACCAAGCCAAGATCTTTCAGGTATACAGACACACCTTAGTCTCAGGCAGAACTCAATATCCTGACAGCTTATTGTTTTGTTTAATTATTTTAAACTGTAAGGCACTTTGTAGCTTCTATTTTTAAAAATGTATCAGTCCTTACTTAACATCTGTACGATGATGTGAAATTCCTAGATGTAAATGTTACATGAAACAATATTTCCTTTGTCTAATGCAATATTTATTTTTTATAACATGTTATAGCCATAAATACTGTGTGGAGCAATTTAATGTAGAGATTAACAGTGATGTAACCTCTTGATGAGAGAACACTCAACATAACATAATCGTGATACTTAGATTTCAGGCAGGAATGCAGACCAACGTGTTGGGAGTTAAAGATGGATAAATTAATCATTTATTTTCTTTTCAGACCTCCCCATGGAGGAGCAGCTGCGGCGCCTGCAGGAAGAGCGTACCTGCAAGGTGTGTATGGATAAAGAAGTGAACATTGTCTTCATCCCATGTGGACACCTGGTGGTGTGCAAAGAGTGTGCACCGTCACTGCGAAAGTGCCCAATCTGCAGAGGCCTGGTTAAAGGCACAGTCCGAACCTTCCTCTCATAACCTGCAGGCTGTGAGCCGCTCAGTTTCATAACAATGTGATTGAATGTAAGCAATATCTATCTAATCTATATTTATTGGAGAGAGCAGGAAGGTTGCTGTGCTTTCCCCCCCGCTCCCTAATATGTGACTTACCTGTTCATGTTAATCCTAAGAGACATTTATGATGTCACCAAGTTTCTACATCATTTATCTAAATAACCAGATAACACTTACAGACCTACATTTATTTGATAAGAGATGTAAAAATACAGTAAGTTGTGATGTTCAGTACAATAATATCAGATTTTTTACACACGTCAGCTGGCTTTCATCATTAGGGCTGAGGGAATGTTTGATATTAGTATTGTGCTATTATTGGCCATATTCACATCATGTTATCAGTAAATATCACAACAATGTATTAAAAATCTTATAAATCAATTGGTGTTCAATGAAGTGAACTGTTCATTACATTAAACTTAACATGTGAAACAAAACCTCAATAAATCGTTTCTAAAATAACATATTATACTTTGATTTGTAACAGCAGCACTGTGGTATCAGTTTGATGGGTTAATGCTCAGGTGACAGTCATTAAGCCTTTTAGTGTGTCAAGTCCCGTCAGCAACTACTGTAGATCACGTTTACAGAAGCAGCTACACAGGTCTGATTAACTTACACAAGATGTTGATTCATGTTTGGAATACGGTAGTCATCAACCTTGTTATGGAAAATCTCCAATAAAGCACAGTGGTCACAAGTAGACAAGAAATTACTAAGTTACATCATAAGCCCTAAAAAAACCAAGACATTATGAAGTTAACAGAAGTACTGCAGGGCTTCTGTTTTGTTTTGACCACTTCTTTATATTGAGAAACACTCAAACTACGAGAAGCAAACTATCAATGTAAGGGAAATGCTGATTTTCTGTATGAAAGACAATCTTTACACCACCCAACTCTCAAATTAAACTGACTTTTGTGAATTGCTGTACACCCTACAGTATGACTTTTTTTCACACAAAACTTGTATAGATAGATTATATATTTAATATATTTATTAAGCCCACAACGGGGAAATTCACTCGTCACAGCAGCAGGTAAGTAATTGGAGTGAAAATAATCAATAGATAAAGGACAGATATAAAAGCTATGGTGAGTGGTGGTTCTGTTCTGAAAAAAATTGTTCAATCATTCATGAAGTGAAATATACAAGTTAATATGCCTTGGTCCTTTTCACAGCCTGGACAGTGACTTGTGGTCAAGTGCTGCATTTGAAATATTAAGTGATGTGGTCTACACTCGCATTCAGTGGATCTAAAAACAATATACTGTATACACACACCATATAAGTTTAATGTAGCATACCTATCGGCAGCAGGGCTGAGTGATACAACTATTAAAAAACCCAACTGACTTCACACCTTATTTAAATCATTTTTCTTCTTAAAAACCAAACATATCTTTATCACGAAGCAGCACTGCTGCCCTTGTGGCCCCTTCTTCTATATGGAATACTAAAGGATAATGATTCTACACATTCTGTATACATATTCAACTTGACTGGATTGTTACTTGTTTGAGTCCTTAGTAGCTGTATATATGAAAATATCTGTAGTTTAAGTCTTAATTTTACAATTCAGGCATTTTTTTTTGCATCATTTAAACTTTAATTACAATTAATTTATTACCCCACTATAATGAGCAGAATGTTTAACTGTCTTTAATCAATCAATAAGCACAGCTATTACCTGCTAAGGGAACTTGAACCAGCAGGGTTTTTTGTTTTGTTTTTTTTAATTCTGCTTACCATTACTAGAGCCTAACTTACATCACTCAAAATAAAAAACACAGCAATTCTACAAGATGTCAACATTATAGAATAGTACAAGTCTGATGACATGCTAAACCAAGCAGCTGCCATTACCGACACCCAGGACAAAAATAAACCTACTTTTGTCAATGCATCACACATAAAGCTCAACTGACCCAATATGCTTATGTTGCTTTCTACAAACAAGATTTTAAAGCACGAAACCATCTTCACATTTTAAAATCACTTGCACATTTGTGTGGTAGACCAAAAACCACTGCACAACTCCAATACACTGAGTGATCAAAGCCAGTCGTAAGTGTGAATCTGAATGAAAGCCCTGTTAATTACTCTAGTAAACGACAAGGTGGTATTGTTAGGAGATGCTTTCAGACACTTCTGTCAACACAAACTCCCTCAAAGTAACCTTACTTGGTTAATTAATCTCAGAGAAAAATCCTGAAATTGTATATTGTAAAAAACTCAGGCAGTGGTGATAAAAGCATGTCAAACCTAATTTACTGCACGTATCCATGTGTGAAGACTCACAAAACACGCCGACACTGAAATGAGGTTTATACAAATATTTATTCTTCCACAAGTCTCTGCCAAAGTTTAGATGATGCCAATCTGTACAAAAAGACAAAAAGAAAACAAATTACACAATGTTCATCAATATTGTGAATACGTCTGTACCTGCGCTATCTGGCATCAGTGGTTCCTTTGAATGCATCACAAACATTCAGATCAAATAAAAGTTTACATCACTTGCACAGGTTTGACAACTTCTGAACGCAAATACAACAATTGTGTTGATCTGCACTGGCTTTAAATAAAATCCTCTTAAAATACTAAAAACTCACCTTGTTAGCAACATCCAACGCATCGTAATCTGGTGCGAGACGAACGTACGCCTTCTTCTCACCATCGGGCCTGAACATGGGTCAAAACACACGCATAAGATGGACCATTGAAAGGAGGGTGGTAAGCAAAATCTATGCTCAAGTTTAAATTTACAACGGTAAATAAAACCACATGTATAGAAGAGGTATATTTTGTCCAGCAAATCAACTACTAAGATTGTTCACTCCTGAGTCCAACAAAAACTACAGACGTTACTATGAGCTGATATACCATTAATCACTGTTCTGGTTTAAATTATGAATGAATGTTGAAGACGGTGTGAGCCAAATAGTGTCCAGTAATTAAATATCTAACACCACAACACGAAACTGGTATTCAGTTTGGTCTGGGATAAGATTTCTACCTGATGAGTGTGTTGACTTTGGCGACGTCGATGTCATACAGCTTCTTGACAGCGTGCTTGATCTGGTGTTTGTTTGCCTTGACGTCAACAATGAACACAAGTGTGTTGTTGTCCTCAATCTTCTTCATGGCGGACTCTGTTGTCAAGGGGAACTTAATGATGGCATAGTGATCCAACCTACGGAAGAAAAGAAATACATTAGCTCTCACACTTCCATGGTCATAAGCCTTTCCTGCTTGTTCTCAACTTCAAACATCTAAAAACAAATGTTTAAGTTGGATGCATCAGTAGTTTATAAAGCTGGAATCATGTTTTTTTCATACTTTGATCGCTTTTACCATCATGTGCACCGGGTTTAATCTGCATTTGTTCAGCCGCATGCCGTCGTTGTAACTCACTTGTTCCTGCGAGGAGCACTCTTGCGAGGATACTTGGGCTGTCTGCGGAGACGGAGGGTCTTAGGGCGACGGAAGGTGGGAGAAGTCCTGATTTTCTTCTTCCTCTGGCTGTGTACGCCCTTGAGCACGGCCTTCTTAGCCTTGAGAGCCTTTGACTTGGCTTCAGTCTTGGCAGGGACAACTACGAAAGAGAAATAGCATTTGTTAAGACCGTTAGGTAGTTTGTGCTCCTCCAGTTGGTCCGAGGGGGCACAGACACTTAGGAAATATGGCAAAAAGGACCATTATATTAGCAATATTTGACATAATAGCTCAACCAACTAAATTAAACATTGGAGTAATCTGATTATGTCAAATGTGATTGGGAAAAGCAGAATTTACATTGACCAGCCAAGACATTAAAGTAATGATTAAACCAATCTTCACTTCAGTATCAACAGCGGTTTCTTAGGGATGACTAAATAACTACACATATTTTAGGTTTTAAAATGAATTCAGTCACTGACCACCAATATACTCCCACACTGGCTCCCACACATACGGTGAGACACACATGACTTGGACACAAACGCCACACATCCCCTCAGTATCTTTAGTTATAGAACCGACGATTTCTGCAACTAACAACATGGCCAAAGTCTCGATACTGTATTTAGTTTTCTTACAACGCCATAGCAACTTCAAACTGCTAACTTTCACGTGTAGCTAACGGGTCGTTTCCAACACCGCCGAGTTTAAACAAATGTTATTATTATCACAAAACAGGGACATGTAACATAATAATGACGGCTGCTGACACTTAACGTAAACTAACCGTGTCCATAACAGACTGTGTAGACAGAATAATAGCTGCGAATACACTGCAACGTTAACATGCTAATATTAGCTTAGCATCACGTTCAGGCACATCGCTAACGTTACACGCCGGAGACGGTGTGTGATTCATCTATATATTTATAGAGTTAGCAGTAATACTCTGAGATTATTGGAACCCCAGTCAGTTCATCTTCACATTTCGGGCACATCTAGTGAATCTTATAGACGTTATTACTGTAAAATGTGCGAATTATTCACTTAAAATGATTAGGTTGACAAACCTTCCTTCTTCACCTTCGGTGCCATGTTGAGAAAGGAAGACTGGACGGGGTTTCCTGCTGTATAATGCATGGGCGAGATCTCGCGGCAGATGTATCGCGATAGTTAAGAAAGCTTGCAGATGGATACCATCAGAGACGGGCTCTGATACCATTGATTAATATATTAGATATGGACTCGCATATAAACAATTTGTCAAACTATCTTTTTATCAGTCCAGTTTCGAGTGATAATCTTTTGTTTTCTTCTTTTTAGGTGTATAATTATTTGTTAAATATGGTACTGTATATGCAAACAATTTTTATTTTTGGGGTTGTTTTGTCTTCGCTTGTTTCATGAAAAATGTCTTGCCAAGCTAACTGTCTTGCTACCCGTTAGCTTTCTTCAATTCAGATTGTCTTTTTTCTTTTTATTCTTTACCATTTCAAAAGAGTGAACCACTATGAGCTTTAAATAGGAATATATGTCTATACTATAATGAACAGCTTTACATGTAAGTTGTTGAGTCCTGCTTCTGCTAGGTTCAGAGTATTTTACTTTTACCCTACATAAATTAGTCATAACTGTGTACCAGTTTGCAATAAAACAATAAAAAGCCAAGTTTATATAAATATAAATCTTCCCTGTGCTGTAGACAGAAGAACATTTTGCTTACATGTCCTTTAACTGCAGCTGTCAGTAAGCTGCATCTTACATTAGGCCGAGACATATAAAGTAGAATTTATCCTTTCAATAGAACCTAAGTATTTCTCCAGAGTAATTGATGAGTATTCAAAATCTTAAGGGACTCGATGACTCATCTCTCTCACAATTTTCTTTATGGTTTTATTTATATAAAAAATAGCTTGAAAGGATTTCATAACCCATGTCTTGTTCAGTGTACTTGGGTCTACCTTGTTAGTTCAACTCAATCACTTCACAGCTTTATTTTTTATTTTTTAAAGAATGTC